TGTTTTTATTGAGTGCCTACTGTGTTACAGGCCTGTGCTGGGCAGTGTTGGGACCAAGACCAAGCGCCTTGTCTAAGAAAGCTGGGGGCATTTGAGAAGCCAGATAAATTCCAAAGTGGTCTCCATGGCCCATAAGGCCCTGTATGGTCTGCCCCCAGAATCTTGTCACTTCCTCACCTTCACCTCCTCCCTCTCTCCTCCTGGGTCAGGCTGCTCCTGCCACAGAGGCCTCCCCTAACAGATCAGGAATGGTCCTGCCCCAGGGCCTTTGCACTGGCTGTTCCCTCGATCCAAAGCTGACTTCCCCCCACATACCTGCATGATCTTCTCCATTATCTCCTTCAGGTCTCTGTTCAGATGTCACTTCCTCCATGAGGCCTTCACTGACTACCACCGCTAAATATCTCCCCCACCTTAGGCAAGGCCCCCATCTTTTTTTAATTAAAAAAAGCTTGTTTCGCCACATACCCCAGCATGTGGGACCTTGGTTCCCTGATTAGGGATTGAACCCACACCCCTGCATTGAAAGCTGGAGTCATAAGCACTGGACCACCAGGGAAGTCCCCTCATCTTCTTCCCTTGCTCAGTTTTTTCACCTTACCCTCTAGCCCAGAATAGATCTCAATCATTTATGTTGCTTCTGGTTTGTCAATCCCACTGGGATGTCAGCTCCACAAGGCCAGAGACTTGTCTCTTCTGTTCGCTGCTGTGTCCCCAATGACTAGAACCAGCTGGACATCCAGCAGGTAATAAATACTTGTTAAATAAGTCTATCTAATCCTGCCCTGAGCTGTGAGCAGGCCAGGACAGGACCTGGCTCTGTCTTGGTCACCACTGTGTCGCCAGCACCACCCAGCAGAGCCTGGCACACAGTAGGTGCTCAATAAAGTCAGCTGAATAAATAGACCAATGAGAGTCAAGACCTCAGGACTCGGCTTTGCTTCCTTAAGGCATTGGAGGGTTTGTAGCTGGAGCTGAGCTCGTGCCAGGTGGGGCCGAAGGAGCCTGGGTGTGGAGGGTGAGCTCAGAGCTCACTAATTGCACCTCCACACTGACATCAGCATCAGTTGAGTCGAGAGCCTTGGTGGCAATGACGGAGTCGCTACCAGCTGAGGTCATTCACACACACCCTTACTGTTGCTGGCTGTTTCTTTTTTCCCTCTATAACAGTTTTGATTTTCTTTCCTTTTTTTAATTGTGTGATGATATTATTTTACCCATTTATAAGAGTTCAGTTCAGTTACATGAAATACCTCCTCGTTGTTCAGCCATCACCACTACCTCGGCCTAGAACTTTTCCATCTTCCCAGATGGAAACTCTGTCCCCATGAAACACTGACTCCCCGTCCCCTCCCCCAGCCCCTGACCCCACCATCTCTGTGGATCTGACTCTTCCAGGGACCTCCTGTGAGTGGGACCAGACAGTGTGTGTCCTTCTGTGTCTGGCTTCTCTCACTGAGACTCACTCCTCAAGGTTTATCCATGTTGTAGGAGTTTTCAGATTTCCTGCAGAGTCCCACGCTCATTCTACCTCCAGTTTGCTTGCTCCTGATGAAGGGCAGCTCACCACTCCATCATGGATTAAAAAAATGAATTAACAAAAGGCCTCTTAGAGAGTAGGACATTGGCCAAACACATAAGGATTTCCCAAGAAGCGGGAACAGCAAGTGCAAAGGCCCTGGTGTGACGCTGAGCTCCACGTGTCATCTCGGCTGGGAAGGGAAGCCCACAGTGGAGGGTGGATTTTGAACAGGGAGAATGTGACACCTTTTCCCCCTCCCTCCAAGTGACACTGACCCCTCTGTGCCTCAGTTTCCTATCCACCCCCAGGACAGACCCCGGGGAGCTCAGTGGTCCCTAGGCCCCTTGTCACTTCCTCCTTCTGGGGACTAGGATACCCCCTTGCCTCATTTGCATATGCAGATGAGGCCTTGGCGCATGGGCTTCTGGGAGGACCCTGGACACACTCAGGCCTTTCTGGGGATGTTGCTGACTCTGACAGGAAGAAAGCCCTGTAATTGCTTGAAGTTTTACTTACAAATCAGGCAGTGGCTCCTGCCACTTCTCTCTCTACTGTTTCCCGGGGGTATGTGAGTGTGGTACTTGGAGCTCCAGCCAGACACACAATCAGCTCAATCCAAGGGGCTGGAGAGAGGGTCTCAGGCTGGACAACCCCCAGCCATCCCGGCTGGCTGCCTGGCTGAAGGCCTGCTATGCATACAGGCTGGCCTGACTAACACATACCCTCTCCCCTGCAGTGGAGGGGTACTTGGGCAAACTCCGGGGCCAGGCATGCTGGGTTGAAATCCTTGCTCTGGTTCAAAATGTGTATTGTACCTGGAGCTGTGCAGTGCACACACTTAATAAGTGCTGCTGAAGTTATTACCTCACTGGATGCCCCTCCCCAAGCCTGAAGAGTTGGCATCATTGCCCCATTTTGCTGCCCAGGGAACTGAGTGACCCAGAGCTCCTGATCCAGCTTGGCCTCAGTTTCCCCATCCGAACAATGAAGGTAGAGCTATCAGGCTCCCATTCATTCATTCACTCATTTGTTCAACACATTTGTTGAGTGCTTACTGTGTGCCAGACCCTGTTCTAGACCTCAGGGACACAGCCTTGAGCAAGGGAGACTCTGGCCCTGCCCTGGTACAGCTGACTGGGGGCAGGGGTGTGGGAAGGGGGAAATGGGAAGAGAAACAAGTAGTAGATAAAAGAAATACTCTTGGTAAAAAAAAAGTACAGCAGAGCAGGGACTTCCCTAGCGGTCCAGGGGTTAAGACTCTGTGCTCCCACTGTAGGGAGCATGGGTTCAATCCCTGGTTAGGGAATGAATGTCATGTGCTACACCATGTGGCCGGAAAAAAAAAAAAAGAATAAAAGATTAAATTTAAAAAATTGTACAACAAAGCAATCCAAACAGAGAAAAGGGAGTGATTGTTTAGACAGAGGGTGTGTTGGGGGAACATTGAGCTGAGACCTGGAGCCATTCAGATATCTGAGGGAAAAATGACTCTACTGGGGGCAGGGACAGCCAGTGCAAAGGCCCTGAGGCTTGACTGACAAGTTGGAGGAACAGCGAGGAAGAAGGAATTCAGTGTGGCTGAAGCAGAGTGATGGAGGGGGTCCTGGGGAGGACCGGATGAAAGGGGCACAAGACAGGGTCATGACTGAGGCTCCTAGACAGACAGCAAGCCAGAACTACCAGGGACTTCCCTGGTGGTCCAGTGGCTAAGACTCCGTGCTCTCAGTGGAGGAGGCCTGGGTTCAATCCCTGGTCAGGGAACTAGATCCCACAGGCCATGACTAAGAGTTCACACACCACAACTATAAGATCCTGCGTGCCACAAATAAATAAATAAATACTAAAAAAACAAACAAACAAAAAAAAAGAACTACTGTATGGGCCTTCCTGAGAGCTGCCTTCTGCCCTCCAGCCCCCATTCACATCTATGTCCCTAAGATTTCTGTATAACAAGCAATTATTAAGTACCCTGAGAGTGGGACCATAAAGAAGGCTAAGCACTGAATAATTGATGCCTTCGAACTGTGGTGCTGGAGAAGACTCTTGAGAGTCTCTTGGACTGCAGGGAGATCAAACCAGTTAATCCTAAAGGAAATCAACCCTGAATATTCATTGGAAGGACTGATGCTGAAGTTGAAGCTCCAATACTTTGGCCACCTGATGCGAAGAGTCAACTCAGTGGAAAAGAACCTGATGCTGGGAAAGATAGAGGGCAGGAGCAGAAGGGGACAACAGAGGCTGAGAAGATTGGATGGCATCATCGGCTCAATGGACATGGGTTTGAGCAAACTCTGGGAAATAGTGAAGGATGGGGAAGTCTGGGGTGCTGCAGTCCATGGGGTCTCAAAGAGTTGGGACACCACTTAGTGACCAAACAACAACAACTGAGTGCTAGGTGTTGTTTTAGTCAATAGAAATTCATCAGGGAATAAAACAGTGCTGTGGGGGAGATAATAAACAATGTTTGGTTGTGAAAAATAGGATGAAGAAAACCAGAGCAGGGTAAGAAGATAAAAAGGGACAGTGTGTTGCTGTAGGTGCAAAGTCAGGGTGGCCTTGCTTTGGAGGTAACATTTGAGATCTGAGACCTGGAAGAGCAGAGGGGCCACATGGATATCTGTGGGAGAGGGAAAACCATTCCAGGTAAAGAAGAGAAAGTGCAAAGGCCCGAGGGGCAGGTCAAGCTCAGTACATAAACTACTTTCAGTGAAAGTGTTAGTCGCTCAGTTGTGTCCGATCCAGCTCCTCTGTCTGTGGGATTTCCCAGCAAGAACACTGGAGTGCATTTCTATTCTCTTCTCCAGGGGATCTTCCCAACCCAGGGATCAAACCCACGTCTCCCGCATTGCAGGCAGATGCTTTACCATCTGAGCCACCAGGGAAACCCATTCAGAGACACCATCAAGCCCTTAAAAGTTATGCCCCAGCATTTCAGAGTGGAGTTTCCTCTTCCGGGTGGCCCCCCAGGATCCTCAGTGTTTCCAGATGACAGAGGCATCCATGGGAGTTCCTGGGCAGTCCAGTGGTTAAAACTTCACATTCCCAATGCTCCCAGTGCAGGAGGCACGGGTTCGATTCCTGGTTGGAGAACTAAGATCCCACATGCTGCACGGTGCAACAAAGTCAGGCTCAGCAGTGCGCAGGCAGAGGGAGAGGAGGAAGTCATCAAGACCCTTCTTGGGATCACCTCAAGTGAGGGATCCTAAGTCACTTGCTTTAAGCACCTTCCAAGCTAGGAGGTCCCTGAGTCCGTGGAAATGATTAAAAGCATGGGGTTCATGCTAAATGATTAAAAGCATGGCCCAGTGGTTAAGAATCCGCCTGCCAATGCAGGGGACACGAGTTCAATCCCTGATCCAGGAACTAAGGTTCCACATGCCACAGGGCAGCTAAACCTGTGAGCCACAACTACTGAAGCCCGTCTGCCACTCGCGGCAACTAGAGAAAAGCTCATGTGCTGTAAGAAAAACCCAGCGTGGCCACAAATAAAGAAATTAATTTAATTAAGTATTTTTTTTTAAAGCATGGGGTTCAACTTCCAGCTTTATTTCCTGGCTATGTGAGTGGCCAAGTCGTTTCTCTCTGGTCTGTTTCCACACCTGAAAATGGGATAAAAAAATGCAGTCACGCTCTAGAATCATGGGGCTACTTATAGTAGGTGCTCACTAAGTCGTAACTCTTCATTGTAATAATTAATATACTCATCACATGGGTCATTTTCTAGGCAGCAGGCCTAGGGGTGGCTGTGTCATTTCGGGAAAGAGCCGCACTCTCTCTGGGCACCAGGTCCCCCAGGGCCCCAGGAGTGCTTTTGAACCTGAGGTGAGGAGTCCCCCAAAATGCCTGCAGCGGGCAGGGGTCAAAGGGCAAGGGGCAGGGATAGGTCAAGGCCAAGCCGCACACGCACAGGCACACCCCTACCCCCTCACTGGCTCTAGGTTGGTTAGGTCTGCGGAAGGACCAGCTGGGCGGATTTAGCCAGCGCATCTGCCGCCGGAACAGCTGCCGTTCTGGGGGGAGGTGGAGGGGGATTTGGGACGAGTGAAAAATCTGTCCGAGGAGAATCGCGTCTGCGCTGCCCAGCTGCCGGCTCAGACTAGGGGGACACCCCGAATCCGCCCGGACCCCGAGCCCCTCCCCTGCGGCGGCCACCCCCACGTGCCTTGGGGGGAGGGGGCGTTGGGGAGGCCCTGACGTCACAGGCAGTCTCAGCCAATCGGAGCTGCCCTTTCCGAACCCCCGGGGGATTCCCAGGCCCTAGCCGGGGCCGTGACCCAGCACCTACGACCCCCAACCTGGGCTTAAAAGAGGGCCCAGACCTGACTGGGGAAACCAAGGCTGGGACGCTCCAGGAAGGGGGAGGAACCCAGTTGACCCCCCTGAGAGCCCCAGTCCAGCCGCCAGGCTCCTGCGAGGCCCAGAGAGGGGCAGGCACGGCCGGAGTCACACAGTGGGGCGGCTAGATGGGGAGCGCTGATTGGGGGCGCGCACGCAGCGGGGCGGGGTTTCCAAGCACCCCCAGGCGCTAGGCACCAAGGCCGGGATAAGCCCCAGCCCAGCCCGGGGAACCCAAAGGCCGCTTGACCCACTCCAGGTCTCCCCGGGACCCCTCGGACCCGGGGCCGCGGCCCGGACGCCCAGGGAGGAAGGTGTTGGTGGCCGCCGGGCACCCGCAAAACCCGCGCTGGATTCATCCTGGGTCGGAGCTGGAGTGGAGCGCCGCGCTGACCCACCTGGCCTGAGAAACTGAGGCCGGGAGGGGCGGGGCTTTGCTCAGTGTCACACAATTGTGAGGACGCTGCTGGTTCTGCCCCCTAACTGGGCCTCCCTGGCTCACCCGGCGGGCAAGCTGTGAACTTCCTGCCACCCTCTTCCAGGTCAAGGCTCAGACAGTCAGGAGCCCAGGGCGGGGGAGGGAGCAGCCAAGTCTGACCTTGCCCCCGTCCAGGGCATGAAAGACTCATTCATGAGTGCTGAAGCCTGGGTGGCAGCTGAGCCGGGCCGCGGGGGTGGGGCCCCCCTCAGGGCCTTTTGTCCTGGCGGGTCCCTCTGCCTAGTACGAGCTGACTTCCCACCACCCCCTGGACCCTGTGTGTTCCGTCAGATCTGTCCGGGGTCCTTCTATGGCCCCCAGGTCACCTCCTCGTCCTTCTGGGCCGCTCTCATCTATCTCTACCTTGAAGTCTCCAGCAGATTCTTCTGTCTCCCCTCCTAGACTGTAGGCATGAGCCAGTTTGCCTTGCTGACTGCTCAGCTCAGTACTTGGCGCAAAGTTGTTGTTCAGTCATTCAGTCGTACCTGACTCTTAGCGGCTCCATGGACTGCAGCACACCAGGCTTACCTGTCCTTCACCAACTCCCAGAGCTTGCTCAAACTCATGTCCATCGAATTGGTGATGCCATACAACCATCTCGTCCTCTGTATCCCCTTCTCTTGGTGCACAGTAGATAATAAATGTTTGCTGAAGGAACGTTTTTGCAGAGAAGCCCAGTTGGGCCAAGAATGGTTCTGAGGTGGGAGGAAAATGCAGAGCCTGGAAGCCAAGCTGGGGTGCCTGTTCCCCATCCCCTTTGCAAGGCAGGCCTCAGTCTCCCCAGGATGCAAGGGGATCAAGTCTGAATGGCTGCAGGCAGGTGCAGGCTGATTTGCCTGGGACTCTGGCTCAGCCGGAAAGCTGGTCAGAGCAAAACCACTGGCAGGAAGGCCTGGCTGCTGGCGGAGGTTTGTGGTCGACAGGACGGCCCCTGGGCAGATGCCCGGGGCCTGGAAGGATGGGGTTGTCTCCACGGATGTCAGGGAGGCTGCAGGTGGCCCAGGATCTAGTGTCCCAGTGTGTATGCCACTGGGAAGCCACACAGCTTGCCTGAGCCCCCGGACTTACACACCAAAGGTGTTCAGGAAGCAGAGGCAAGCAGACCTGTGCCAGCTGGTGGATCTTTCTGTGCCAAGTCTATGGGAGCCTCATATGACTGCCTTGAAGACTGAACAGTGCCATTTATGCATCTAACATAAGCACTCAGCAGGTGTGCAAGAGATGTCACTAGATAAATACACAACAGACTGTAGCCTGCCAGACTCCTCTGTCCATGGGATTCTCCAAGCAAGAATACTGGAGTGGGTAGCCTTTCCTTTCTACAGGGAATCTTCTCAACCCAAGGATTGAACCCTGGTCTCCTGCATTGTAAGTGAATTCTTTACCATCTGAACCACACAGAATGGTCAAACTTTCATTGAGCACCTCTTGTATACTGGAGCTGTCAGAGGGACCAGGACAGCATGCAACCTAGTGGGGAAGACATCCATGGTCACACCCACATGGGGACGTGCTTTGGACACAGAGGGACACTGAGGTGCTCAAAGGCTTCTGCTGTTCTGAGGTCACAGGGAGGCAGGGAGGTCCCCGGGAGGTCTCTGAAGCAGAAAGACCAGTTTGTCTTGGAGTCCCAAAGGCAGGGGAGAGGAGTGCTCCCCACCGGCTATGAGGACGCTGCAGCCAACCTCCCCCCCAACACACACACACACACAATCTCTTTCTTGGTCAGGGTCCTTTGGGCGCTGGGATCAGAGTCTCCAGGGCTGTGTACCATAGTCTCTGCAGCCAGCTTTGCTCTGTTCAACCCCAGTTCAGCCACTTTCTAACTGGGTGACCTTGGACAAGATGCTTCCCATGCCTCAGTTTCCTTACGTGCCTGTTGAGTGTTGTTAAATATAATCTGTGGACTGAGTAAATGACCTCATAAATGAAGAAGGCCATGTAGACCCTCGGGGTTCCCGACACCGCAGTCTCCCGGTCATCTCTAGCATCTCACAGAGGGTGGATCCTGAGGATGCAGGTTGGCCAGAGTGGACCCGGGCAGTAAACTGGGGAGGGGGCCGGCAATTAGACCTTCCACCCGGACCAGAGCAGAGTGATTTATGTTGGGTCTCTCCTCCACCCGCACCCCCGGCCCTGCCCCCAGCGCCTCGGGCCGCCCACCCGGCTCCGCCCTCCGTTCCGCGCCGCCCAAGCTCCGGGCCAGGTTTTGCGCGGCTCCGGCCACCCCCCTCCCCACCCCGGGATGCCTGGCTGAGCCGGCCGGGCCGGGACAGGTGCGCGCACCGACCCCCCCAACACCCGCGCCCTCCCGCCCTCGCGCTCCCTCCCGCGCACTCGCGGCGGCCGCGGCTCCGAGGTAAGCGCCCCGGGGCGTCTGCAAGAAGGGGGGCTGGGGAGGCGCTATCCTGGGGGTGTCTGTCGGCACGCAGCTGGGGGCCTTAATTGTTGGCTGAGGTGGCCGGGTCGTTATGATGGGGGGAGACGCTGAGGACCCAGCCACTGGGAGGGGGATGGATTGGGCCGGGGAGGGGGTCTGTGGAGCGCTGTAACGAGAGGTTCTGTTGGCAACGCAACTGGGGAGGGGGCTGGATTTTCGGGGGGTCTCAGCATGGAGCGATAGAATGGGGGACTAGTCAGACGCTTTGAAGGGTCTGGATTTGGGCCTGGGTCGCTGAATGAGACTCCGTAATGGGGGTGTCTAATGGCACCGCAGCTGGGGGGGCCTGGATTGTTGACGGGGGGCCTGTATGTGGAGCTATAATGGGGGTTCTGTCGGTACCACAGAGGGTGGAGGTTTTGTCCGTGGGGGGCGCCGTAGAAAGCACAATAACGGGGGCTCGCGGCTGCGCCGCTGGAGAGCTGGATTGGGGCCCAGGTGGGGGTGTTCAGGGCAGGCAGGGGGCCTGCTGGCCGGGGATGGGGGATGCTGTTGGGGGGCGGAGCCCTGAGTGCTAAGTCGAGGGGCCGGTGCGGTGGTCCTGGCGAAGCGAGGCCCCTCCGCCCCACTCCACAGTCCATCCGTGGCACCTTGGGCGCCCCTGAGCCCTCTCTAGCCTCACGCCCGCCCGGCCCAGAAGCAGTCCAGGGCTGGGGCCGCGGGGGGAGGGGGTGGGCGTGCTGCGGGGGGAGAGAGGCAACCGGTCCGGATCACCCCCACCCCCTGCTGCAGTGGGGGCCCAGGTTTCGGGGCCCCCCAGGAGCTGACAAAGGGACAAAGAAAGCGTCTTTCTCTCGGAGTGCGNCCCCTGCTGCAGTGGGGGCCCAGGTTTCGGGGCCCCCCAGGAGCTGACAAAGGGACAAAGAAAGCGTCTTTCTCTCGGAGTGCGCTGGGAGGGGTGGGGGGCGCCGAATGTGGCCCCCTCCTGTGGGCGGTGATTGGTCTCGAGGGAGGGGGTCTCGCAACCCCTGTCCCGCCTCGGGGTGCCCTCCGGGTTTGGGGCACCTTCTAGGTGGGGCGCTGCCATAGGCCCACCCCCCTACTCTGCCCCTGCCCTGTCGTGTAGACACTGAAGCTAGGAGTATTTGCAAGAGTCCTGGGGTTGGGGGTGACTCCCAGACCCTCAGCCCCTCGCTGAGGTCTTTGACATCCTCCCCCTGAGGCTGTTATCTTTAACACCTAGACTGGAGGGGAACTGGGGCTGGGGGTTAGGGGATTGAGCCCTCAAGTTTTGGGGGTCTCTTTTGGGATTTAAGGAGGAAGAGGGGACTAATGGCTGGGGTTTCCGAAGGGCCCCCAGTTTGCAAAATTGCAGTGCTTTGTATGTTTCTGGGTTCATTCAGTTTCTCAAGGGGTACAGTGTGCTCTTCAGAATCAAAGTTCAGTACCCCTGCAGCGTCCCCTTCCCTGCAGATGCTGGCTAGCCCCTTTCCCACAGCCCTGTAGATATTGTGTCTTTCAAGATGAAATTTTTGGATGTAATTGAGGGATGGCTGAAACACTGTATAGACAGAGTATGGGGTATGGGAAAGTGGCTGGAGGCCATGGGTGGGGTCAGGATTCTCCTGGGAGAAGGTCCTGAGCTCTTTGGGAAAGTAGCTGGGGATCCCTGTGGCCCAGAGGAGACCCCCTTGGATATCCTGCAGGTGGCAGCCTGGCAGGAGGCTCATTAAACTGTAGCATGTACTTGCTGAGCTGACCTGTTCCCCTGAACAGACAGGGAAACTGAGGCTCAGGGAGGTGGCAGGATGGATGGAGAGGGAAGCCAGTCCCCTCCACTGCTGGGGCTGCTAGGTGGGGTCAAGGGGGAAAGGAACCCCTATATCAGCTGAAACCCAAAATACCAGCCCAAAGGTTTCCTTGGAAACCCCAGTCCCCCACCCCCACCCCACTGACCTGGGCAGGGCAGACATTAGACCTGGAGGATCCAACACCCCACCCCTCTCAGAAAAAAAAAAAAAAGCACCATAGAGAAGACCAGGGCGTGAGAAGAGGGGTACTGCTGTGTGGCCTCAGACAGGTTGCTAGCCCTCTCTGGGCTGCAATCACCCCAGAAAGTGCTCTTGGTTCTAGGACCTGAGTGGAAGGAGATGAGGCAGAGAGATGTACCACGGAATACCCTGGGTATGTAACCTCTCCCTCTGGTCCCCACCTGCCTTCTGCCAGGGCTAAGTACCCATGGGCCTCATTGTCCTGTCACCTCCTCTGCCTGGAGGCGAGAGGGTGTTTCCCAGCGGCGGTACTGAGTCACTGGGGAGGGACTGTTCACCTCTGTCCACTGGGGAAAGAAGGTGCTGGGTACTTGGGCTGTAGGAGGCTTTGGCATCTGCACTGGCCACCCAGGGCTTGAGCGGGGAGTTGCTGGGGTGAGCTGGGGCTGGACCAAGAAGATAGAAATCAAACTGT